ACCAACCAGTTGACGGCGTCAAAAAAAAGCTCTCCGAAACTGGCCCAGTTTTTTGCAATTTTTTGCAGTTTTTCGGACCATTTTGTGTCGTTTTTCACGTAGGTTTAGATCTGCGTTTTGCTTACTTTTCAAGGTCGGTTTCGGTAGCCGCCTCCTGGGAGTTCGGTACCCAGCGGAAGCCATGACTTTGGGCCACGTTTCTAGAAGCCAAAGCAGCCCCAAAGCGAAGGCCCTAAACTGAAAAGTCCAACAGTCTTGAGACAGCGTAAAGGTCGCAGCCGCTAAGGTTTCGGGCTTCTTGCTTTGGGCTATGGTGGTGTGGTTTTCACCGTGCAGAGCCTGAGTAGCCTAGCCGTGTCTGCTTGCAGTTCCAGACTTGTTTCGGGCTTTGCTTAGTGTCCTCTGCACAGGTGCAAAAGGGCACGGTCCTCAGCAAGGAGGAGTGGACGGACTTGTGGCAGGGTCGTCTCACGAGCTTCTTCAACCAGGCCGGAGGCAGAGGACGGGGTCGTTCAGCAAACAAAGAAACNNAACGGGAGGCACCAAGCAGCCTGAGAGGCTTGCCACCCAGAACTGGTTGAGGGACATGTCTCACAGTCTCGAGTCGATCGGCTGGGGCTGGTCGTGCTTTGCTCGTCGTTCGGAGACAGCAGCAGCAGCAGCAAGGCCTCTCGCCATGGTCCTGTGCACGGACCAGGAGGCCACCCAGTTGTCGGCCGTGTACTACCTCAAGTTTGGCCGTTCGCTGTTCGTGGAACACGTCAACGACCCGGCTCACAGGTCGCACAACGACGTTCACCTGGCAATGGCAGCGTCAGGTCTCTTGACGTTCGGCCTCATGTCGTTCGGGCTCTACAACGTCCGGTATGGCCCCTGGAATAAGGGCACGTGGTTCGGGAAGGTCCAGCAGACGGCGGACGAGATGAGCCGCTCGATGAGCCCATCGGACCCCCTGCTGGTCCATTTCTTCCCTGACGTTCTGGCGGATGAGGGCCGTTCGCAGGACGAGAACACAGTGGAGAACCGTCGCTCGTTTCTCGACGGTCTGCCAAACAGGGCGTTCGTTCGAGCCAAAGGGTCGAAGGCTTCGCCCTCGCGGTTCAACAGCTTGTCGATCGCCCATGCAGAGCTCGACCCGGACTGGTCGGCCTTTTGCCTCGTCCTCGCCGTTCTCTGCATCAATGAGGGCTGGTGTAAGAAGGCCTCGGACTTG